AAAAAATCAAACAATAACTTCAGTACCAGCTGCCTCAAAAAAACCCCCACAAAACACAGATTTACATTTATTTACATTATATTACAATTATTCATTTATCACTTATTGTGAGATGTGTATTTATTTCATTCATTTACTGTATTTTTATTATTTCCTTTTATTTTCATTTTTTTATTATTACATGTTTTTGACTTTATTGTACTTTTTGTCAAGATCTCAAATGGGATACGATAGCAATAAAGAATTACTTACTTACTTACTTATAAATTGTAAAATAAGATATTTGGATATGGACATAATAGTCGTGTAAATAGTCGTGCGTTCAACTTACTTCATATGTAATTCAAACATTGTGAGAGACAGTGTAAAAATCACAAGCCTTTATAGCAGTGAAAATCTTCATGAGTTCTTTCTGAAGACTTGAAGTTACAGCGACTTTCACAACTGTTCTCTTGAACTCCTTTAAATCATCAAATTACAAATATTTCTAGCATCAAAAAGTTTATAGTAGCTCTTGCTGGTTTTCTTTCTAATCGTACATATGGCATTGTACTATGACAATTTGGACTTCACGTAATGATCTTTCATTCTTCTGATTATTTCTCTTTTAATTGATGCTAGGCTTACATATTGTAACAAATTTTAACTAAAAAATTTGATTGGCTATGGCAAAATTTAGAATTTTCATGATTATTTTAGCAAATTATTCGACATCCTGTAATGTCGTATTACACATGCATGGGATAAAACCATATGATAATCTATTCCATGTTTTCATGTATTGGTCTAGCAAACCTCTAGGAATTTATAGCAATTTATTCTGGGCTTTAGAGATGCAATATATATTTGATATCTGTGAATAACTGATTATTTGTTGAAATAGTAGTATTCTCTGATACACGTGCGTGTGCTGAATGTTTTAGTACATGCCAGAACTATCACTGCATATGTATTTATCATATTTCATCATATAACACCAACATTTTCAGTTAATTCTAAATCATAATTCAATTTGATCCTCAAGTTGTAAACCACAAGATTGTATTATATTATAGATCTATGATTTATATGTCTTTACTGTCTATAAATAGTTTTGCTTCTCCATTCCTCTCAGGTTAGTGAGTGAATTCCTCCTGGGAAATGGAAATAATTAATAATTACATGTATAATACAAACAATCAGACCATACTTTCACCAACATTGCTGTGTTCAGGAGAGCCATTTTAGGGTTGAAAATAAATGCATGAGAAAATTAATTTTCAGAATTAGGTGAATAACGCCAACAAAATGATTGCTGTCTGCACTGGCTCGCTCATGGGCATCAGTTTGTTTTGCAGATCAGATTCAAAATGGCTGACTTTGTTGTCTGCAATTCACTCTACAGTGATCACATTTCAGTTACAGCATCAGTTTTAATGCATTAACTCTTTACTTTCTCTTAAAATTTATTAAAAATCATAGGAAAGGTGTAAATATTTTGACTATGTTTTTTATTTTATCTTTCAGAGTACTGTTGCAAATAAAACTGTTGTTGCTATCATGTTCTACACAGCAACTGATGGTCAGGGAGTGATGGAACCAGTTGTCGAAGGCAATAGAATGCTCCAAATTGAGGGCAAAACAGAGGAACTGGGCGATTTCAGTATTAAATTTCCAAGGGCTAAGAACACCAAGAAATCTAATTATCTGAGGACTTACTTGCCTAGTTTGCATATTGCTAAAGAAGTGGTGCTACGCAGCATGAAATATTATCAGTTCGGACAAAAACACATGTTAGGATTAGTTGGCGATATTCTCTCACAAAGTCAGTTCAGTGACTATGAACCTAATCTTCTCGTTCATCAAGTTACCATGGCGTTACCTTTTGAAATTGACATCGCCTTTGAATCTGGAAGTTACAAAGATAGAACAGCGTCACTGCTGGGGATGGATTTCACACAATATTTAAATAATTATCTGAGTAGTTTTGACAATCGATTCGAACACGTCTTTCAACTAAAACAAAAAGGTTTTAAGGAGAAGGAGATAAATTTTGCAAAGGCCACACTGAGCAATCTTATTGGTGGTATAGGTTATTTTCATGGAAAGTCGATTGTTAAATCTAAATACACAGATGAACCGGTAGAATATTGGGAGGCACCGCTTTACACAGCAGTTCCATCACGTTCGTTTTTCCCACGTGGTTTCCTATGGGATGAAGGATTTCACAATCTTCTCATTAGTAAATGGGATCCGACAATTAGTAAAGAAATCATTGGTCATTGGCTGGATTTGATGAATGTCGAAGGTTGGATTCCACGTGAACAGATTTTAGGGACTGAAGCTCGGGCAAAGGTCCCTGCCGAGTTTGTTGTACAATATAACGAGAATGCTAATCCACCAACTTTATTTTTGCCAATTCAATCACTTATGACTGGCATGATGACAAGCAACACTGCTGAGGACCAGACCTTCTTGAAACTGATCTTCCCCAGATTGAAGGTGTGGTTTAATTGGTTCAACACCACACAGATAGGAAATGTACCTACTTCCTACAGATGGCGAGGTAGAGACACTGAAACTAATAAAGAGTTGAACCCCAAAACGCTGACATCTGGTTTAGATGACTACCCAAGAGCGTCTCACCCGTCTGACGATGAGCGACACATTGATCTTCGTTGCTGGATGACCCTTGCTTCAGGTGTTATGAAAGACATAGCAAAAACAATCGGAGAGCCGTACAAGGACTATGAGAATACACATTCAATTTTATCCGATAATAGCCTTCTTGACAAGATACATTGGTCAAATAAGGGCAAACAATACAGTGACTATGGAAATCATACTGATCATGTTATGCTAGAAAGACCACCCACCCCAATACCTAAACAGCAAAAGCCTGGCCCCAAAAAACAACCAGTCCCGAAACCAAATGTGCCAAAGCCTCCAATGCTAAGGGTGATCAAATCTAAGAATGGACCAAATTACAAGTTCACAAACGCACTGGGTTATGTTAGCTTGTTTCCCTTCCTTTTACAAATAATAGAGCCATCATCTGACAAACTTGGTAAAATCCTGACTGATATTAAGGATTCTAAATTACTTTGGACAAAGTATGGTCTCCGGTCACTATCCAAGTCAGATCCTTTGTACAGTAAATATAATACAGAACACGACCCACCATATTGGCGTGGACAGATATGGATCAACATGAATTACCTGGCTGTGAGGGCGCTGTACCATTATGCCAATGTTGACGGACCCCACCAGCAGCAAGCAGCAACAACGTACAAAGAACTGCGGACTAATCTTATCAATAATATTATTAAAGAATACGAACGATCAGGTTATATGTGGGAACAGTACAATGACCTTACTGGGAGGGGTCAAGGGTCACACCCTTTTACAGGATGGTCCTCTTTGGTCATTCTTATGATGGCAGAGAATTATTAATCAGTGTTTGAAGAAAACATTTTAACACTAAAATTTGAACTATTTTTTTCCCCACTATGCTCCACTTTTAAATTAAGTAAAACAACAAATTCATGAAATTCTAATTCATGGGAGAATATTCAAGCAACTATTTAAACCTTGATTTGTTATTACAGATTCTGTCAAGTGGAAAAGTGGTAGACAAGACTGGTTTTGCTATACTCGAAAATTGATAACCTGGAAAGCAGACTCTCATTTCTCTGGTTACCCACTGTACACTAGAATTTATAGGTACATTTTTGTTGCTATAGTAACTATCAGTTGATATATCACATGGGTAAAATATACAACAGTCATCTATTGTCATCTAAATTCAAATAAGCACCATGCTATAATTATCAGCCAACCAATGTCATGGCCATCCACTGACAGCACACCAATGTCATGGCCATCCACTGACAGCCAGTCAATGTCATAGTCACCCACAGACAGCCAGTCAATGTCATGGTCACCCACTGACAGCCAGTCATAGTCATCCACTGACAGCCAGTCAATGTCATGGCCATCCACTGACAGCCAGTCAATGTCATAGTCATCCACTGACAGCCAGTCAATGTCATAGTCATCCACTGACAGCCAGCCAGTCAATGTCATAGTCATCCACTGACAGCCAGTCAATGTCATGGCCATCCACTGACAGCCAGTCAATGTCATGGTCACTCACTGACAGCCAGTCAATGTCATGGCCATCCACTGACAGCCAGTCAATGTCATGGTCACCCACTGACAGCCAGCCAGCCAGTCAATGTCATAGTCATCCACTGACAGCCAGTCAATGTCATGGCCATCCACTGACAGCCAGTCAATGTCATAGTCATCCACTGACAGCCAGTCAA